GCTGTGCTTCCAGAACCCAGCTGGATTCAGCCAGTGAGAGACACGGGCCAGACTAGGGGGCGGCAGAGAAAGAGGTGCGGGTGTGTCCGGAAGGGGTGAGGTGGTGTCGGGGTAAAGTGAAGGCAGCTCTTCTGCGTTCCAGCCCCTTGCAGAAAGCCCCACCGAGCCTCCATCTTCCACTAGGGACGCGGCCTCCCAGGCTTCAGCAATGCGCTTTGCTAGTTTGCTTCACGCTGTTGCCGATCCCTGCATTGCCTCCCCACTTCCATTTGGTGGTTTGCGACCTGTGCAGAAAACCTATTCCTGCCATTAAACTCCCGCGCTAGTTATGTTGTAAGGTGTTTCTCTTTGCTTACTTGGGCCCTCACTGCTGTACTGGCCAGCCTCATCTTCTCTTTGGTATAGTTTTGACTGGCCATAAAATACGATGAGAATGCTGCCGGCATACCATATCTCCATTCTAGCAAGACTGCTGGTACATAATCTTACAATGGCTCTGAACAGAATGGAGAGATACAGACTGGAGTATAAAGCAGTCCTAGATTGCTGAAATGTATTAATGTTCAAAAACTGCCTGGTGAAAGGGGCCTGGAAGTGTTTCAGAGGGCTCTCTCCTGGGCCATATCCTACTCAGCAGGCTACCGAAGGCTTAGACAAAGACCGAGAAAGTAGCTCTGGTAAATGTGTATGTGTTTATCTCACAAAACTGGAGGAGAATGTAAATCAAATTTGAAAGATAAATTTTGTAAGGAAAATGGAAAGTCTTACCTGTAGGTTTGCATGAGTTATAAAAATATAAAGTTGGAGAGAGCAAGCTTCCCACCGTATTATGTGGGTAAAGAAATCGGAAATTTTAATTGATTACAACCTCAATACAAGCTGCAAGTGTGATGTGTTTTTTTAATAAGAATAATTATTCATCTCTCTGTCCCATTAAAACCTGCCTAACATCCCTGCAAATTGTTCAACTACTTCTCATCTGGTATATTACAAGAAGGCTAGGGATGTAATTTAAGAGAGATATTGCTCCATTAAAGCTTCAGTTTTCAGGGGCTGGGGATTTAGCTCAGCAGCACAGCACCTGCCTGGCAAGTGCAAGGTCATGAGTTTGATTCCTGGTACGGGAAAAAAAACAAAAAGACAAGCAAACAAACAAAAAAAAGCTTCAGTTTTGCCTAGCTCTTATAGAGGCTTACATCATTTACAAGTTATACTTGCACACGTTTGTTCACTTTGGCCTCAGGAAAAAAAAAAAACACCCAGTGGAGGTTGTACTGTTACCCCATTACTCTGCCTTGGTTTCCTCTTGGTTCATAGCCCATTGTGTGGTATCAGTCAAGCTCTTCTCACCTCCAGAGCTAAGACTAATACGGAGTGAGCAAGTTTGGGCTCAGTGTTTAAAAAAACTAAAATAGAACTGCCTTCTAATAGAGTAATATGTTCACAGTGCAAAAGCTGGTTAAGCAACTCTGCAGAACACTGTAGTGGAGCAGATTCCAGCGAGAGGAAGAAGGTTCTATCACACACCCTCTAGAGTAACAGATTCCCAGCTCAGAGACTCTGACTTGATTTTTGGTTAGTGATTGGATTTGTGATTTGTAGTTTTTAATTCAGACATACTGGCTTTACGTCTATAATTTCATTTCTAGCAATATAATTGTTTTTCTTATAATTTAGGATTAACATACTCTATTTGTGAAAAAACTTTTAGGAGCCTGAAACGAGGAAGTAAAGCATGACTAGTGTTTGGTGTAATTACCTACAGAAGAAATATTATGCTATTTCCCAGAAGATGTCCCCAGAGTGAACATTTGCATGTGTTCCATTTCATTCCTAGCTATGAAATCCTATCAGGGATGATGAGAAGAATCATTTTGAAATATATTGAAGCAGAGAATAGAGTTTGCAAAGTATTATTAGATTTGCTAAGTTGAACCTTTACAAACGAAGTTGTTGGCATACTGCTGTAAAGACCAGTGCCTAGATGATAAAAGTCCCTGAAATGACCTATTAAAGGCCACCAGAGTGACAGTGGTTGAAAAAACATCATAAAATTTACCTTGAGAATACCTTTCTGGCCTTCTTTCTAGAACTAATCTAAGATAGTCTCTGCCCACATGGGATAGTTATTCACGAAAGCGTAGGGTAGTCAAAGAGGGAAAATAAAAGTTATTTCACAATTGATGTAGAAATAGCAGATTCTCCCCCAAAGATTAAAACATGCAGAGGGGATGAAGTATGTCAGTGTTTTAGAATTAGCCTAAGATAACGTTTTAACTTGATTGCTGGTTAGGTTTAATAACGGGAACTTCCCGGTCTTCATAGCCTCTTGCTCACCTGCGTTCCTGGCAAAGGTAGCTGTGCCGTGAAACCTGTCTTGTGAATCTTCGTGTGAATGATCTCAAGGGCTGGGCGCTCTGGACATGTTCGTCTTCTCAAGCCTGCAGTCGTTGCCTCCCTGACCCCTGCTCCATTTTCTCCCCGGTCTCATTAATCATAACATAATTCTCCCAGAAAGGTTTGCAGTGCCTTGAAAGTACTAAGAACAAAGTGAGGCAGAAAGTCATCTGATAATGTAATTCGGTGTGTTACCCATTGTAAAAACGAATTTTATCAATGTGAACAGTCCTGACAGCTACTAGCTTCTGGCTCATGTGCTTGAGTTTGTACTGGCTTAGCAAGCCCCAGTACATTTTCCCCTCTAAGTTGTTAATGCAGAGTAATTAAAGGAGTAATAGTGGCGACTTCCTGTGCTGTTCTTGGCCAAATCAGCATCATCAGCCTCTTGATAAATTGCCCAAAGTTAGAAACCTGGCCCTATTGATTTAGGGATCTTTAGTTGTGCTCCGTGGGCCTGGCATTTGGGAACTTGTAGTTGAGTGTCTATGAATGAAAACATAGTCACTGAAAATTTCATCTTACAGTAAACTGCAGTTTCCCCTCTCAGAAAAGAGCCTTAGAGTGAGATTCTAAGGTAGCGGGAAGGTGGAGAAGATGGCGGGCAGCCTTGCTCTCGAACGTCCTCTGTGTGAAGTTTGGAGAGGTGTGATGAATTTAAAAACTGAACTGCACTGGGACCAGATTTGTGTCTGTGTTCAGAATTTTTCAGAGTCTAGAAAAATGATACATTAGACATCTTCACTGTATGTAATTTTCCCACTATATATTCAAATACATGAATATTCTGATAGCAAAAGCATATAAATAGTCACTGGGATAAAGTGTTTAAGACATTAAACAGTTTCATGTTAGTTCAGGTCAGGATCTGAAGCCAGGTAAAGTTCAGATCAAATCAAATTTGCCAGTAGTGAGTTAAGCACAGTGAAATTTACCTATTACAAAAATGTGCTGCTAGGGCCAGGGATGCAGCTCAGGGGTGCAGCACCTGCCTGACAAGCACAGGGCCCTGAGTTTGATTCCTGGTACCCACCAAAAAGAAAAAAAAGTGCTGCTATAAACATGGGTGCACATATGTCACTGTGGTGTGATGCCTCTAATTCTTTCAGGGAGAAATCAAGAAGGGGAATAACTGGGTCAAATGGAACCTCTAATCCTAGTTTTTTGATGGATCTCCACACTGATTTCCACAATGGCTGCACAGGTCTACATTCCCACCAGCAGTGGAGAAAGACTCCTTTTTCCCCAGAGCCCCTCCAGCATTTATTATTAGTTGATTTCTTGTTAATAGCCGTTCTTTCCAGGGAGAGATGGACTCTCAGCATTGTGTTCATCTTCATCTTTCGAATGACCAGTGACGCTGAACATTTTTTCATATATTTATTTGCTGTTTGGCTTCTTCATGTAAGAAGCATCTGCTCACTAGGGGATGCCCATTTTAGATTGGATCTTTAAATTTGTCGGTGGGTTGTGTGATTTTTTTGAGTTCGTTATAAATTCTAGATATTAGACCTTTGTGATTTTTTTTTTTATACAATGGTGTACTAGTCAGCCACAAAGAAGGATAAATTTGAGACATTTGTAGGTAGATGGATGCACCTTGAGAACATACTCTTAAGTGAAACAACTCAGATACACATGAGTTAATATCACATTGTTTCTCTGCTGTGAGAAACCAAAAGTGTAAACAAGGACCAAAATGTGTGATAGATATTATAGAATACAAAGAAAATGCCCAGTTGGGAAGGGATGAGAAAAGAAGGAAAAAAAGGAAACTAAGGTTTTATATATAAGGACAGGAAGAGGTTATAAAGGAAGGGAGGGAAATGGGAAAAAAGAACAATCAAGGTAATATCATCTACAGGTACAAATTCCCTATGATGAATGTGGTCATTATCTGTATCTAAAATGTACCAATAAACTTAATGAACTGAAAAAAAAGAACAAAAAAATAAGATATGAACCAAAACTTCTTTGTTTTTATAGCTTTTGTGGTTTATGGTTGTCAACATTTGTAGTTCTGTAACGTTTTGCCTGTAGTTGTTTAAAGAGACATCTTTACCATTTCTGTTTTCAAGCGGTGATGTGGCAGTTACTACTGTTGTCTTCATTCCTTGCCCCTGGGCGGTGAGGGATCTGAACAGAGTTCAGATGGTTAAGTATGAGCATAAGTACATCATCTCACTTAGCCATCACAAAATTATCTGAGATTGGATCGTTTCCATTTCATAAGGGTCAAGGGAAGTGCAGAGCAAGATGGCCCATTCCGAGCTACAAAGTTATTAAGTAGCAAAACCAACGGTCACACTTGGGTCTTTCAACCCTGGTTCCCATCCTCCTCCAGCTAAATCATATTTTCATAGGAAAAGCTTCCGATGAAGCTGAAAAATTGTCTCAGATACGTTTGTCTAGAGTTTAATGAATATGTCCCGTACAGCTTTTGCTAATTTGAATCATTTACATTTGGCAGAAGTGAGCTAATTATAAACTGTGCCATTCATTCTGATTATTTTTAAAAGTGATATAATTGAAAAGTTTAATTTTAATTATGGAATAATAAAGGCATTTCATGTTGTTCTCCCATTTGTATTTTAAATATTTAGATGTGCCTGGCGTCAGAGGGGGTGAAAATGGAAGAAACAAAACTAATAAAGGCAAAAGAAGCAGACAGTGAAAGAATTAAGGAGTTGGAGAAGGGAAAGGAAGAAAGAGAAACAAAAGCAGAGAAAACAGATGCACCTGGGTTGCAGGAGGGGGAAGAATTTGAAAAACCAGCCAAGGAAAATGTACGAGAGTCCAAGGAACTGAGAAATTTTGAAGAGCTGCAAATGGATGATGTAATGGCTATAAAAGTGGAAGACGCCAAAGAAATTAAAAAGGAAGAATTTGAGGAAGATCAAAAATACAGTCATTTCCCTGATTTTTCTTACTCTGCTAGTAGCAAGATAATAATTAGTGATGTTCCCAGTCGAAAGGATCACATGTGCCATCCTCATGGAATTATGATCATTGAGGATCCCACTGCATTAAACAAACCAGAAAAGCTAAAAAAGAAGAAAAAGAAAAGCAAAATGGATCGACATGGCAATGATAAGTCCACACCTAAGAAGACGTGCAAAAAGAGGCAGTCTTCAGAATCAGACATCGAAAGTGTCATATACACCATTGAAGCCGTCGCAAAAGGAGACTGGGGTGTTGACAAACTTGGAGAAACACCCCGAAAGAAGATCCGCACATCTTCGAGTGGCAAGGGAGGCCTCTTGGATGCCAAGCCACCAAAGAAAAAAGTGAAATCAAGAGAGAAGAAAATGTCAAAGGAGAAGTCCTCAGACATTACCAAAGAGTCAAGACCTCCAGATTTCATTAGTATTGCTGCCAGCAAGAACATTTCCGGTGAGGTGCCTGAGGGCATAAAAGCAGAGCCCCTGACCCCCACGGAGGATGCACTCCCACCCAGCCTATCAGGACAGGCCAAGCCTGAGGACAGTGACTGCCACAGAAAAATAGAAACCTGTGGCTCCAGGAAATCTGAGAGGTCTTGCAAAGGTGCTCTTTATAAAACCCTGGTGTCTGAGGGCATGCTCACCTCTCTGCGAGCGAATGTGGACAGAGGTGAGTGACTCACACAGACCTCGAAAGAATACAAAGACCGAGCAGAATCTCCCCTCCAGGCCTAGTGAGGAGAACCTCTATAAAGAACAATGTGACACCAGCATAATGTCTCACATTTGCACGGCTGCGTAATAGCCACTTGTGATTTTACCTACATGTTTTCTAGTACCTTTTCAGGAGTTCCAGTATCATTTAGTGGCTACTTCTCAGGACAGAAGTATTCAAAGGAACTGAACTTTGGTCTTAGTAGTTTGGCTTAGCTCCTTGTTTTGAGGATCAGTATTAAATGGAACTTTTGGTTTGGTCTTTAAAACTAATGGAATTTCCTAAATGAGGCAGATGCATTTAGCAGTCCTGACCTGAAGGCTGCAGAAGTAAATACCCTGTCTCACTCTCTCCATCAGGCAGTCAGAACTGCAATTGAAGTGTTCTTTAAAATGGGACAGCATCCGCAGTCTATTCAGTGTGTGTACCTTTACTCCATGGGGTATTTTATACAAATTTACCTGTTTTAAAATACAGCCTCTCGCTAGGCGTGCTGCCACAAGCTGTATTCCGGCAAGAGATGTATGAATCGTGGGCTGAATGAACTCTGAATGCAGATAATGCAGAGTATGCAGTTCTCCAAGGATGTCGTCCCAGTGAGCCTTGGAGAAATTTGAACCGACAGTGTCTATCAGCCATGAGCTCCCATGCTGCAGCTAGTTCTCAAATGTAAAACGTAGGAATAGTTCTTTGTCTCTTAGGTCCTGTTGTACCTATTCAATTATGACAAGACAACTTGGAGGTTTTAGGTCACTTTTTCACACGTTCTGTTACTAACCTGGGGCGTCAAGAGGCCGCTTGTGAAGCAAGTAAGGTGCTTTTTCCCAACCCCAGTATACTGAGCACATCCTGTTTTCTGAACTCCATTAGGTAAACGAAGCTCGGGAAAAGGAAACTCCTCTGATCATGAAGGGTGTTGGGGTGAAGAAAGCTGGACATTTAACCAGTGTGGGACCAGTGGGAACAAGAAGTTCAAGAAAACAAAGCCGAAAGAAGACTCTCTCCTTGGGTAGGTGCCCACAAGCACGTCCACGGCACTGTGCAGAGCCTGGTGCGGTCGGTTTTCAAGGCCAACATAAACCATTGAGTGCTTATTCTTAGTTTTCATTTAACTCTTACCTAGAGTCTGAAAGCTCCCTAGTGATCACGTGTCAAGCGTGTCACATGCCTGCTGCAGGTAGCACAGTCATGTAAGTGAGAGCGTCATTCACATTTTAGGTGGAGGAGAAATTGTATAGACTTTAACCTGCAGGCTGAGTTTGAATTGAGGTCCACCAAGTAGGATGGTGTGATCGTGTAAACGCTTTAATATTGCTAGGGCCCATTTTCCCATCTGAAACTTAGGATGGATATTATATTAGGTTTATATTTTGCACACTTCATGTACTATATTCATGTTTATGGTACTAAATTTATATTCACTTAATATTTCTAACTATGTATGTGTGTTTATAAAATAATATGACAGCTGGAATATGTGAGGTAAATAAAATTATGCTTCTACCTCTAACCTTGATTTGTTTAAACTATCTTCTATTGCTCTACGATAAAAATATTATGTTGAATATCGTACAGACAACATTGAATACATTAACTATTCATTGAAAGGTACTACAAATTAAGCAGTGGCATACAGCAAGATAAAATCATTAAGAATTACTTCATATCTACTGTTATACAAAGACTTAACAATCTTGATATAAAACATTTTGTTAGTAAGCTAGGAGATACAATATTTTATATTGATGAGCAAAGTGTCTACATAGTTATACTGCTTTGAAAATCCTGTGATTTCTCATTAGTTCAAATTTAAAAAGAATACATTGAAAATAATTTTCCATATTTTTTCATAAGTGTGTTTAAAGGTATGCAGATTTTATGCACTGGGTGTATTGTATTTGTTTTATTCATAATATTTGCATTTCTATTTGTGGAACTAACGTAATATTTTTCCTTGGAAATCACAGTGCTTTAAAGTCTGGTTAATTCTACAACTCTAGGTCATCAAGTGAGAAGGTAGAAATTATTTCTCATGGTGCTGGCTCCTCAGATTTATTCATACTGGAATAGTATATTTTTTACTTTATCTATTTTATTTCTAACATGTTTACTCGGCTTTTATTTTGTACTAGTACATGTTTGCCGAGCATCACAGTTACATTCCGTGTGCGGGTGGGTGCACATTCAAGACACACCTCAGCTCCTTTCCATCCCTCTCCGTCCCCTCCTTCTCCTCATCCCCTTCGAAGTTCAGAGTACTTCACATTAGGGTTACCTTTGTTATGCTTAAGTAATGACAAGAAAGTCATGCCATTCGTCATTATTTAACGCGGCTTTCAAATGTAGAATTACCTAAAAAACAAGTAGTAACGCTTGAGCACTTAGACCAGTGTGCCGTGTCTTCTAAAAGAACTTCAGTGCGTTGGGAGTCTAGCCAGCGGGAGAGGAGCGGGTCTCATTGTAGAAGTGGTGGGAAATAAAGCCAGCACAGCTCTCTCTGTATAGAGAGTGAGGTCCGCTTAGAAAGCGATGAGTTGTAAGACAGGGATTTTCACTGATCTTCTTTGAGAAACAGTAAGTACCACGGTCTTTTGAAAACCCGTCCCTGAGATTGTTGAGGGCTGTGTGTATATGCTTTACTTATTTCTGAGGAAGCCACATGTGAAAGCTGGGAGTGTGGTTTAAATCAGCAGTAACTTCAGTGCTCTTTCTTCCTTTACCTCTTTAAATATTGACCTGTCAGGCAGGATCAAGTAGACCAGTGGTGGAGAACCTACAGCACCTGTGTCACATAGCCAGTTGTTTGTTATCATTGAAAGCTCTAAAACATTCACCCGGCCGTGCACAGTGGCAACGCCTATAATCCCATCACTCGGGAGGCTGGGGCAGGAGGATCACTGTGTTTTGAGGCCAGCCTGGACTACAAAGTGAGTTCAAGGCCAGCCTGAACTGCATAGTGAGACCGTGTCTCAAAGAGACGAAGGAACGAATGAGTGGTTCACCGTCACTGCGGTAGACTGGGCTTGCCTCTTTTAGAACATGCCAGTATAGTGCCTGAGCAGTGGGAAACACTGGTTCCTGTCGGTCTGCTCGGAGATGTGTAGGTGAGAATTTTAAAATGTTGTAATCTTAGAAAGTGTACTACTTAGTTGGTGGGGCCAGGAAAATTCTCTTCAGTATTGGCAGTTCTAATTGTATATACTTCTTCAATTAACATATAGATGATTTTCATTATCTCTTTAAAAACAAACAACAAATTGAAACAGTCTCAAGGAACCTTAGAGTTCATCTTGCATTTTCAGAGGTTTTCTTTTGAATATTCATAGTACCTGAAAAACTCATAACATATTTATTTATGCATTATGTTTATATTTATGTATATTCATATGTATATAGCTCTTTGATAGTTTGTATTTAGTAGCAGGTTTTCCATAGGTAGTAACTTTTTTTTAGCTGAATGAGAAAAGATGATTTTAGGGGAAGAGGAGCTTTGCTCTTTGATAGAGCCTAGTGATGGCCGTCTTGTTTTGACTCTTTGCATGGCCATCTGACCCTTTTACCTGTCTCCCAACTCTTGTGCTGTATATTCTTCCAAACCTGAGAATGGCTGTAGGTGGAAATATCTGAAGTACATCCTGTAGCTAGAAGCCTAATCCATCAACTTCTCTAACCTGCACCAAAGCTACCCTCTTCTTCCCCACATAACTTCCCACAGCTCATCCAGCAAGCGCAGCACTGCTGGAGTGTGCACCAGTTAGAAAGTCTTATTAAATGAAAGTGCGTAGCCAGCCCAGGACGCAGCAGCATACGACCATTCCTGGGTTGTGGGGTTGCAGACAGTCAGAGTGAGCCCAAGACGTCTCCGCCCTGCCAGTGGCATTTTGGTTGAAGCTAAAGTGGTGCTGACTCTTTGCCAGTAGTATGGTCCCTGAACACTGACTTGACTTTGCTCACTGGGCGTTTCATCTTCGTCTGGCCAACTCTCCAGAACTTTTTTCTAATATCCAAATATTTGTGTGTGTTTTAATCAAGCACTAGTCAAGCATTAGCTTTTTAAAACACACATCTATCAACATATTTTACCAGTACGCTTGCCAGTGCATATTCATGTATATAATCTTTAGAATGAGGAGCTGCCTGAATATAGAGTATGCTTTGTACTAAACTTTATGAAAACTTCTCATGCCAGCTGAACTCCCCACTTAAAATATATGCTAATATTTTAAATGATGTTTCAACTTTTCTAAGATCATAACATGACTTGTCATGTGAGTTTACTAAGAAGATTGTGTTGGTAAGTCTTTTCAGGCATTTCTTAAAAGGTGTGTTTCCTTGCACAGAATTACTTAAGATGCCCTGATTCTAGGGGCCCTGTTCTCAAACGAAATACCTTAAAATACGTCTTGTATCATTCTCTGTTCAGATATTTGGTCATGTGCTGACTGGTTCCCCTTTCCACTTCTAATAGCTCAGCAAAGCTGGATGAAGAATTTGAAAAGAAATTCAGCAGCCTTCCTCAATATAGCCCTGTTACTTTCGACCGGAAATGTGCACCTGTCCCAAGAAAAAAGAAGAAGACTGGGAATGCGTCCTCAGAACTGACTAGAACCAGCAAAGGTCAGGCGTCCCTGTGCCTCCTCGCAGTATGCTCAGAATGTCACTGATCCCCTTGGCTGTGCTTCTGAAGCTCCCGTTAGATAAGTCAGTAATTGGATTTAAAATGAGGCAGTAAGGAATCACAATTTCGCGTGTTCCCCAAAATTATCTTGGTTCCTACCTCCTTCTTCCCTTTTCTTCTCCTGAATTCTCCTTAGCCTCTGTCCTTTGGCATTTCAGACTGTACATTTGGTCTTAAAGGTGCGGCAAGGCTTTCTCCGAAGTGTTACACATGGTCTTTGACCGTCTGCTCTCTAGAACTCTAATTTGGGGTGTTGGGCTTTTCTTGAGCAGAAGCTGCTGAGTCCAGTTCTTGTGTTCCTTGATACTGCTGTGGATTCACTCTAGAAGTGAAATCATTCTATTTGCCTGATAAGCAGACTATTTATTAATAGTATGGACTAAATTAAAATAAATGCACCTGTTTTTATTGATTGTGATGAATGGAGGAAAATGCTTTACCATATTTATTTTTAAAAATATCAGTTTTTCCCTGCATCTCTCAGGGAATCTCTTAAAATTATCCACATGCCTTAGGTGCATCTCCGCACTCATCAAGGGCAATAGTCCCATCCAGAAGGGGATGTAAAAGAACAGGGGGAGGGGCTGGGGATTTAGCTCAGTGGCACAGCTCCTGCCTGGCAAGCGCAAGGTCGTGAGTTCAATTCCTGGTACTGGAGAAAAACAAAACAAAACAAAAAAAGAAGAATAGGGGGAAATTTTACTGATCTCAGCACCTGGGAACACTGTTGTGTGGAGCAGAGGCTAGAATACCAACGCCACCCATCCTACTCATGACATTCAAGCACAGGAGTGCTTGACCTCCAATAACAACAGTAGTGATGTTGTTGAGAACGTTGTCTTCCAGTTTTACTTTAGTTTTGAAGATTTTTGGGGAAATAGTCCTCTTGTTCCTCACAGCTAGGAAAGACTCGCTGTTCTTTAGGGACAGGACTTGCCAGTGGGAAGAATTGGTGTGCTGAGCTGTAGTTGCTTTCAGGACCAAGACCTAATCAAACAGTTCTTGGAAGTATCTTGGCAAAAGTAGCTGTCCCCTGCTTTGTGTCAAATCAGATTACTTTTGTTCTTGTGTCAAATCAGATTATGTTTCTTCTTGTGTTATGTTTAGATCAGATATGAATATTAATGAGGAGACACAGTTTCATGGATTTTGAGGGAATATTTAAAGCACATGGATTAGGAAAAATTACGCTTTCTTCAGAAAAGAAACCTAAACTGTTCCTCCTTGAAACTAACGGTTTGTACACTGGAACTGCTGCAGCCTGTGGGAGAGCTGTGTCTTTGAGAGCTGTGCCTCAGAACATCATTGAAAAGCAGATGAAAATTCCCCCTTTAGTGATGAATGGTACTTAAAAGTCAATTTAGAATTAGCTGGTTTTCTCTGTGGTTAATAAAACTAAGTGTAGTGAATAAAGCATTTTTAAAAAATAGTTTTGTATAAAGACCCTCCAAGATGGATATGGGAAGAAATAAAATGGACTCACAATTAGGTAGCTGCGTACCAGGATGGGTTACCAAACGGAATACAGTAATAGTCTTCATGTCCTGGAGATACTTAGGAATAGGCGGAGCAGTCCATGAGCCCATCGGTGCCAGCTATCTTGAGCTCCCATAATTCTTGGATATAAAGTCCCTGACAGGCCAGTAAAATGGAACTTTAATTGACTGATGTACATTGTGCATTTCTTACCCACCTCTCACAGTTTCAGGCTTTCATTTTATAGCTCTGAAGATGGCTGGGTATCTTAGCTCTCATTATGCCTCTAGAGCCACAAAGTCAATGGCTTCCACAGTATATCAACAATTTACATATGTGGGGAGTCTCACAGTTTACATTTTGCTCTGCGTTGTTTCATAGAGCAAGATGAATTGAAGTAATGCAAAAATTAAATAATATATTCTCTATTTAGTAAACTAAAGAAATAATGTTTATGCCTGATTGTAATTTGGCATTAGCAGCACCAGTATACGAGACTACAAGTTATTAATGAAATTACCATACCAGCTGTGCCGTAATTGCCTGATCTTTAGGGGATAGAGGAGATTGTTTTCTTAGACTCTAGACCCTTTGCATCTTTGCATAATGAATCACTGAAAGCAAACACTGTGTGTGAGATCATTAGTTCATTAGTGAAAGTGCATGTGTCCATTGGAATTTGGAATATCCTCCCGTAATTTGCCACTTGCCTGTTTTTATCTTCTCCTATATCTGTTGCCGTTCAACATTTGTTATATTTTCTCCACATTTATACTTAGCACCTTTTGAGGTACTTCAGGCTATGTAAAACATGTAGATTTTTTTCTGAAATTTAGGTTCCAGAGGCAGTGAGTATTTATGCCTTTGTACAGTTATGTAGTTCAGAGTCACTGTACTTGCTTCATTTTATTCCTCTGTTTTCCCATTGAGCTGCAATTCTTAGCTGTTTTTCCAGGTCATCTCTGTTCCTTTCCCATTGTCTTTCCGTTACTTTCACCCCATTCCTTATAATTGTTTAATGGGTTTTGTCAAAAACTATATAAACTAAGTGCCACATTCTACAAACTGAACTTGGGCTACGTTATAAGGGAACAAGGAGGGTGATTCAGGAATAGCATTTCCTTTGGCTTTTAAGAGCAAATTATCCAGTAAATTACAGTGCTTCTAACTCTCAGTGAAGTTCAGCTGAAGAGACCTAATCTGACACTTTTTTCTCAGGTTATATGATATGTTTTTAAATGAAAGCTTTAAGTTAGAAGTCTAACTGGAATGCCTTAAGATATTTGTTTTGATATGTTATTTTATGTATACGGCTGATGTTTTTGAAGCATTATTTACAAAACCAGCAAAAGTTCTCTGCAAAATAGTAATTTTCAAATGGAAGTAGGGTCTTGGAGTGAAAGCAAATTGAGTTCGATTTAGAGTGTTACAGAGTATTTATGCCTCGTCTTGGCCCTTGACTTCATTTCTCCTGTTTTATTCTATGTTTCCATATTTTTTTGGCTCTTACCAAACATGCTTTTTCTTTTTCTTTTTCCTAATTAACATTATATTTTAAGTTTGAAATTTAAAGTGATTAAAGAGTTCAGGTTTTTACAGTGGTAATAAGTAAGTAGGTTCATGGAACTGAAGGTTGAAGCAGAGGCACATGTGCTGGACTGAGCCACCCTGAATGTACTTTCAGTCCGAGAGAGCTGAGACCTGGGCGTAGCCCGGCCAGCCCTTGGAGCCGTTAGGAAGCTAGAGCTTCTGCCAACTTTGACCTCCACCTTCATTGGAGGTCAAAGACACTATGTGTACCAGCAGTGAGTGATACTGGTCAGAAAGAAGCTAAAGTTGATGCAAATATTCTCTCAAGAAATTTGATAAGAGATGAGATGGAGCCTTAAGAATAGTACAGAGCAGTGACGGTGAACCTTTGAAAGCTTTCAATGGTAACAAACAGCCGGCTGCAGCGCACATGCCATAGGTTCACCACCACTGGTATAGAGTGAAAAACAAGTATTGATTGAGTGTGCAGTTGTTGATTTTGTTGTCTAAATGATTCCTTCTAAAACTCTTTTACCTGCTTTTCACTTTCTACCGTTTTCCCCTCTCCTATGAACACTTCTGTTTATATAACAAGAAACTTAAGGAAAAAGATAATAGTAAATTTCCTAACATTTGCCATGTAGTACAAATACTTTTATCTTCTTTAGAAAACATGTTTAATATTGTCATGTACCTTGTCTGTGAGCAGAAATTAAAGTGTTCGCTTCTTTGACTCCCAAATTGCTGCTTTTCAGTGACTGGAATTAGATCTTATCTTTCTTTTCAAGTTTTTCACTTTCTTTGAAAGAGTTATCATTTGCTTAGAGTATTTTATAGCTCTACTTTAGGAAGTGATTGGAGCAAAGGATTTAAAAATTCAATTCTGTTGAAGCTCTTCCATGCACAAAACCTCTTTTTATTTTCTTATTAATAATGGAAGTTCTGTCTTTAGCTTTGCTCTGAATGGGTACTTTTTAGATTTTTCTGAGTATGTTTTGGTCTGAAAAGATACATCCTTTTCTTTTTTCCTTACCCATTCCACACATCAACTCAGTTTGTTTCTGTGAATCACTTTATTATGCTTTCTGTGAACCAATGTATTATTATTTTCCTACATGAAAATCAGTGTGGTTGCTATGATCATGAGAAGTTTCAGAATTTGTTTCTTCCTGCTTCTTTTTCCAGGATTGCTAATATGTCATTTCAGTGCCCCAGCCTGGATTTTGTAAGATCATGAGGTAGTCATCGCAAACCAATAATATAGAGCACACCCATAGTATTAGTGTAGTATGAACACATGACACTTTTCTTTGTACCTGAAAGATGTATTTTCCTTTCTCTGGTTCTCCTTTTACCAGGGAACCAAGCAAGAAGGGATTTTGTATTCCCATTTCGATGTACCGCCAGCAAATTCAGAGGCATTTGTTATTGGTTATTTTAGAAGGATGCCTTGGTGTAGTCATCTGAAAACACTTGCTTAGCTTCATGGTATCAATAATAATAGCAGCAAATGTCATTTTTGCATACTCTGTGCCAAGTAGCTCTTCATGAGCTTTATTTATTCATGAAACAAAATTCAGAACCTGTCATACACGAAGCACCACTGTAGGCACTTAGATTATAGCTGTGAATGAAAGCGGCCTCCCGGCATAGAGGTTACATTATGCTGGGGATACAAGACAATAAATAAGCCTGAAATAAGGAAAGTGTATTATGTGCTTAAAAGGGAGATGTGCTGTGTGAAAAAGCATGATTAATAGAACCCTAGGCAAAGATCAACAAGGAAAGAGAGGATTTAAGGAACACTATAAACCAACTGGAACTAGCCGATGTATCTAAAACACTCTGCCCAATAATAGCAGAATGTACATCCTTTTCAGGTACACATGGGAGAGTCTCCCACAATGCCTGTTGCTGAACAATAAAATACAGT